AGAACATGTTCCTGTGCTTCAAGTTGTGGGTGCATTGGCCTTTGTATCTGATATTGTAGCTCAAAGGATGCTAACCAAGGATCTTTTGAGATGGTTAAAAATACTGTGTGCCCATAAAAATACAGAGGTAACTTTCTGATTTTACATGATTCCTATGTTTAACTGTAATTAAATCCTCATGTTTAATCAGGTCCAAAGGCTTGCTTTGTTAGCTATTGGAAATTTGGCTTTCTGTCTGGAGAATTGCCGTATTCTTGTCACCTCTGGAAGCTTGAGGGAACTTCTCATGCACCTGGCTTTTACACCTGAACAACGTGTGATAAAAGCTGCAGCTCGTGCTTTGGCAATTCTTGGTATATTTCTTCCATTTGATTATACTAAATTTCTTTGAGAATCTTTGGATCATAGAGTCATATGATTATGTACTTTTGTAGGAGAGAATGAAAATTTGCGGCATGCTGTTAGAGGGAGACAGATACCAAAACAAGGCCTACGGATACTCTCAATGGATGGAGGTGGCATGAAAGGTCTTGCAACTGTGCAGATGCTTAAAGAAATCGAGAAGGGAACTGGAAAGAGAATACATGAGCTATTTGACCTTATATGTGGAACATCAACCGGTGGAATGCTCGCTTGTGCCCATGGTATTAAGTTGATGACCTTGGATCAATGTGAAGAAAGATACAAAAATCTTGGTGAGTATGCTGCATAGAACATAAAACACTAAATTGTATTCTGATTTGTTTATTCATGCCCTATGTTGGCTTTGTAGGAAAAATTGTTTTCACTGAACCTGTGCCAAAGGATGAATCTACAACATGGAGAGAAAAGTTTGCTCAGCTTTCTAAAAGATCATCACAGAGTTTCAGAATTGTTGTACGTGGATCTAAAGTATGAATTTCTCTTTTCTGCATATGAATTTGTGTTTCGTTCTTCATTACTGCTAAAGTTGCTTTCTCTGGGTTTTATTTTTTGAAATTGTATATGAATTTCTCTTGTTATCACTGAAAATGCATATCTTGAATGCATGAAGAGGCGTTCAACTTTTTCACAGCATATCTCAAACGGAAGAAAAATTTGTTTTTCTAGAGGATATTTCCAGAGGCTTCTGAGGGTTTACTATAATTTACGTCATGGATTGCTCATTCTGTATAACACCTTTAATCAATAAAACATAGCAATTGTATCTGCTGCAACTTATTTCATTTTTCTTTGAGAGGTATTTGGTATTGTAAAACCAGTAATTCAAATGGGCCTGTCTGCTTTTCCTTTCAAAGTATCCTTTGCTTTCAACAAGACACAATAACATGTAGTGTTGCAGCACAGTGCAGATCAGTTTGAAAGGTTGCTAAAGGAAATGTGTGCTGATGAGGATGGCAACCTACTAATCGAATTTTCTGTAAGAAAAATTCCAAAAGTCTGTTGTGTCGACTTTGGTGAGCGTTATGCCAGCTCAACCTTTTTTATTCCGAAATTATCAGGTTTGAGGTCTAGAGTTCCTTTTTCTTAATGTATACTGAAATTCTAATGGGATTCATTCAAGTATTATGATGCTCATATAGACATACGTAGACTACATTACTATACATTACGATGATTTCTAGGCACCTCAATGAGTTTGTTCATACATTTATGGTTTTCTTAATGTGCAGTACCCTGTCAGAACACCAGAGGTGCCCTTTACAATATCAGAAGGTTCAGGAATCACTGTTCAAGGATCTCCAACTGCAGGTGCTCAATTTGGATACAAACGAAGTGCTTTTATTGGAAGTCGTATACATAATGTATGGCAAGCTATAAGAGCGTCTTCTGCTGCTTCATATTACCTTGATGACTATTCAGATGGTATTTTTCTTCTGTTTGCTTAAGCTAATTATTTTTTAAGAATGTTTAAACTTATTAATATTTATTATAATTTATTCTACCTTGAATAGATGTGCTGGCAAGATGGTGCTATAGTGGCAAATAATCCAACTATATTTTCCATAAGAGAATCACAACTTTTGTGGCCTCATACAAAAATTGACTGTTTAGTTTCAGTTGGCTGTGGTTCTGTGCCTACTAAGGTAACTGCTTTGTTTTTGTGTAGCTGCCATTGAAAGCGATTTATCATAAGATCTGGATTTATTCACCTATAAAATTTTCCAATTTCCAGGACCACTTTTTTCAAAGATCATCGTGTAAGCATATTCATGCGGAATAACAGGAAACAGCATAGGTTCTTGTAATGATATTCCAAAATAACATTCTAAGCAGTTGATCTTTTGAATGATTGAAGAATAAAAAATCAAGAGATTTAAATATCTTTTTGCTTTTTATTTGCCGATCATGTTGAGATTTAATATTTATAACTTCATTCCATGAACTTACGTGTATCTCTTTTGTTGTAGGCATGAAAAGGAGGTTGACGTTACCTAGATACTGGGCAAGTGCTGATTGAGAGTGCATGCTCCGTGAACCGAGTTGAGGAAGCTTTGAGTACAATGTTAACTATGCTCCCTGAGATCCAATACTTTCGGTTTAATCTAGGTACTTCTTGGTTCCTTGTGGCCTTCAAAGATGAGGGTTTGAGGTCATTTTTACCTTGGTTGATGTTTCCATAAGAATATCTGACCATTTTTTATTTAGTTATTGGATTTTTTTATCCTTGTGCAGTAGCTCTTTAGTGAAATAATTAGGAATTCTTCAATTTATGTGGTTGCCTTGTAGTTGATGAGCGTTGACATGGAGCTAGATGAGACTGATCCAACAGTTTTGCAGAAGTTGGAAGATGCTGTAAAGGACTACATTCAAAGCAATTCAGAGGCATTCAAGATTGCATGTGAAAGACTTATTATACCCTTTGCACATGACGAGAAATGGAGTGGAAATTTGAAATCTCAACATTTTTCTAGAGCTAAAGCATCAAATGCAGGTAGAACCTGGTTTTTGATAGTTATCGTGTGTTAAAACTTTCTGGATGCTCTGCTGAATCTTTTTAAATTCTTTTGTCTTGGGCTATACTAGATGAGAATACCCCTTCAGTAGGTTGGCGGCGAAATGTACTACTTGTTGAAGCTTTGCATACTCCTGATTTGGGAACAGCAGTGCACCATGCCCAGGCACTTGAGTCATTTTGTGTACAAAATGGAATAAGATTATCTCTTTTGCATGACATACCTGGAACTCCAAAGACATCACCTGCAACAAGATTTCCGACACCATTTACCTCCCCTCTCGTCACTGGAAGTTTCCCCTCAAGCCCTCTTCTCTATATTTCTGATGGCATGCGGAATCTTGACCGAAATATCATGGTCCCTTCTTTAAGCGTGGATGGATTACAATCTGGAAATATAGGTACATATCATCCAATGTCTCCTCCTGTATCCAGGCAGCTCTCTCTACCTGTACAGTCATTGCATGAGAAGCTACATAATCTACCACAAGTTGGCATCATACATTTAGCCCTTTAAAATGATTCAGTTGGCTCTATATTAAGGTATACAAGCTTCTCTATTTGAGGCCTTAATTTAGTGTAGCTTTGCCCCAGTCTGTACCTGCTAACTGCTGATTTTCTCTAGTTGCCAAAATGAGGTATTTGTGGTGGCTGAACCTGGAGAACTGGCTGATAGGTTTCTACAAAGTGTCAAGGTTCACATGTTGTCAATGATGCGCAGCCAGGGCCGTAAGGGTGCATCACCTTTTACCAATATAACAACTATCGCTGATTTGATTCACTGTAGACCATACTTCAAAGTTGGAAACATTGGCCATAAATATATTGGACGCCAAACCCAAGTGTGCATGATTTCCTGTTTTGCTTTCAAATGATTTTTCCTTTAATTGCTAGTTTGAATCAGAACTAATGAACTGTCGTGATTTTCATGACAACTCCTGAAGGTCATGGAAGATGATCAAGAAATCGAGGCATACATGTTTCGCCGCACTGTCCCTTATTTACACATTACACCTGATGATGTTCGCTGGATGGTATGCATGTTGATCTAATTTTATTTTCCCACTAATGCTCATGATACCTGATGTTATCAGATGATTTGTTTATATGATTTATATTATTTTATTTATTCGTGTTCTCCGTAGATCATGAAATTTGATTCCCTGACCGAATTTCGTTTTAGCATTTTATGTGGATGATACTTTGTTTAATAATTCTAGGTTGGAGCCTGGAGGGATAGGATCATAATCTGCACTGGAACTTATGGTCCCTCTGCAAATTTAATTAAGGCCGTTCTAGATTCTGGGGCCAAAGCTGTTGTATGCCCTACAGCTGAGCCCCAAGATGTGTTAATGAATGAATTTGGAGAGTATGATGTTTCGGGAAAGGGAAGGTTTGAGATTGGTGGGGAAGGTCTAGAAGACGAAGAGCCAGAGTTTGAAATTGAACCTGAACCTATCAGTCCAACCAGTGACTGGGATGATTATGACCTGGAGAAGACTGCGGACCAGGGTACCTGTTTTTGGGATGAAGACGAAGAGGAATTATCAAGGTTCATCTGCAAATTTTACGACTCGGTATTCCATGAAGGTGCAACAGTGGGTGTTGCCCTCAAAAACTGTCTTGCTTCCCATAGGAAGCTGAGATATTCATGTCACCTTCCCTTTGTCAACTAGCTTGTCAAAATAAATCCCCAAGGGAAAATAAGAATTATATTAAGTACATTAATAATTACAAAAAATAAGAGGCAGTATTTGATTTTTGTAGCTTATAAGTACACACTTGTTCCTTATCATTCATTACATGTATGATGGTACTGGTTTCTACGTATTTTTACAGGAAAGATACATAGATTTATACATTGTTCTGCTTGTGCTATGGAAGTTGCAGATAAGAATCGACTATAGAACAGATATATTCTGATATACCAAGTCTCAGATATAGAAATTTAGGGGCTGTTTGTTTGCCTCTTAATGTAACTATTCAACGCTGAATGTTGAACCGTTCAGCATTCAGCGCATTTGTTTCGTACCTCTGAATGATTCAGTGCCGACTGATTCAGCAAAACAGTACTGAATGATTCAGCACAGAAGTACATTCTAAATGATTCAGAGCCAGTAAACAAACAGCATGTCATATTAAGAGCTAATTCATCTAAAGCCTATGAATCATTCAACATTTGAATCATTCAACGCTTAATCATTCTGAAGTAAACAAGCAGCCCCTTAGTTTTTACTTTTCCTTGTACACTCATCTCTAAGACATATTCGAACAATAATACAGCGATGTGATCATCCAAATATACTCTCCAACTTTAAAAAATTTAAATATATCTATATGTATCTCGACGACGATTACGTTCCGATTTTAATTGGTTCAGTTGTGCAATTTCTTTAATCTTCAAGGTCGTTCACCCCGGCTACGGTGGCTACAAGTCACAGTCTCTTTTGAAACTTCCTTCTCTCACGGAATTAACATGCAAGCCATTGCTTATTTTGTGATTCTGCAGCAATTTTTTCGTTGTCCTTTTGCTTAGCAAGAAACTCAACCGCAGTTACAACATCACCGATCAATGGCCGGCTATCAGCATCCTCCTGAAGACACATTGCTGCAACTGCAAGAGCTTGGTAAAGAGCCTTTACAGGGTAGTTCTCTTGGAGCAGTGGATCCGCAATCATCTTGAACTTCTGCCTATCCTTAAGTAATGGCTCTACCTGCAAGATGTAGAGGAAGAATGGATGATAAACTTAGATTTATGAACTTAGTATTGTAAACAAGTGATTCTGGACTCGATGTACATACCCAAGCAACCAGATTCTGTTCTTCTTCCGGCCTTTCAATATCAATAGCTCTCCTCCCCGAGATGAGCTCCAGAAACACTACGCCGAAACTGTAAATATCAGATTTTGTTGTGAGCTTGCCTGTCATTGCATACTCCGGAGCACAATAGCCATATGTCCCCATGACCCTGGTCGATACATGGTCCTTCCCTCCGGTAGGTCCTAACTTAGCAAGTCCAAAATCAGACAGTTTGGGATTGAAGTTCTCATCTAGTAATATGTTTGACGCTTTAAAATCACGATAAATTATGGGCGGATCGGCAAAATCATGTAGGTATTCTAGCCCTTTCGCAGCTCCTTCAGCTACTTTCATCCTGGTATTCCAATCCAATGGCTCCTTACCTGGAGGTACATCTAAATAAACAGATACAATAATCATAATCCACAAAAGAATTCCATTAGTAGGATTATAAATAAGTACTGAAGAAGTGAAAAGAGTGTCATTTTAACATACCAAGAAGATGATTTTCCAAAGACCCATTAGCCATGTATTCATAAACTAAAATCCTTTGATCCCCATCCGCACAATAGCCGATCAGATTCACAAGATTCGGATGGTTAACCAGACTTAACATTAGAACCTCCGAGAAGAATTCTCTGCTTCCTTGCTTTCCATTCCTATCGAGCTGCTTCACGGCCACAATCTAAGACGAGAAATTACAAGCACGCAAATTATTAACTTTCAAGGTGAAGTTAGCTACATTCATTGAGAAAAAAGGTGTGTGTATATATATATATATGCATGTATACTTTGTCAATGTTCTCTATGTACCCTTTGTAGACCCTGCCAAATCCCCCTTCTCCTATCAGACAATCAGGATTGAAGTTGTCTGTAGCAACAGCTAGTTCTCTAAATGTGAAAATATGAGCTGAAACTTTAGCTTTTCCAACTTTTTGAATCTCTTCAGCTATTTTCTGCTTGCCACTACCTGCACATCGATCAAAATGGCCAAACAAATGTTCCTAGAATTAGTAACGTCGATAACAAAACATCACACAAATCAAATATTGTTCCCCCCGGCTCTAAAGAGAGCTCGGGGTGCCTCTTGAAGTCGCTGGCATGAACCTAATTGCACTCTGCACGACTTTAAGAGGCGCCCTGACCCCTGAGGACAAATTTTGGAACATTTATCGCTCTCCGGCGGTCATTCCTTAATGCAACGACACCCGAAGAAGATAACATAAGTAACATAAACATTAATATGGTCTTCCATTCACCCGGGTTTAGGATCGACGAGGCATTTTAACATAAACAAGCACTACTAGATTATCTGGGATTCATTTACATCTAAAAGATAAACAAACATTACCTGTTTTGGCCGACAAATTATTGGCCAAAGACCTCAATGATTTCCCATTGCTATTATTTTCATTGCCGCCAATGTCATAAGCACTCTCCTTAAGGGAACCAGCACGGTGCTGCACTTCCTCTCCACAACAAGAGAAACAACTCATTCTTCTTCCCATTTTCCCACTCATCTCTCCAATGCCAGAATTAGCGTACAATGGTGGCAATGAAACCAAAGTGAAGAATGGTGTGTGTTCATATAAAGCAAGGGCTAGAGGTTGGTGTAATGTTCCATTTATCATCTTGGGTCGGTTTTATCGGTTTGCTATATATAGAGAAGAGATCAACAGGAAGAAACTAAAAAGGAAAAAGGAGTAAAAAAAATGTTTTGAATAGGTTTGGTAGAAACAGAAAGAGCTGACGCGTTCGCTTAAATTACATTTAAACAGATTTGAAGCAAACTGCCAGCAACTTTTTCATTCCATGTGTTCGGGTGCATTCCATGGATGCAATAAATAGGAAGAAGATGGTATACCGGTTTACTATAAAGTACATTAATTTTTTTATGTAGGCTGGCTGGTTAATTTGAATCATGTACTAGATAATTATAGAACAATTTTTTCACTTCAATTTGTTATATTCATAACGTTAGAATGAAGGGTGGATATTTGACATGATTCTGATGAGTTTTGATCCAACCTAATTTTATAAGTTAATTTTTTTAATAAAAAGTTAGATTTGGATCAAGCCAAGTCAGAGTTTTTGAAAGATAAAACCAACGGGTTAGTTATATTTAAGGATAATTGTTATAATATCCATCTCTTTATGTATATTTAATTATATTCTTATTTTACTTAATAAAAACAATAAATATATATATATTTGTATCAAGTCAAATACGAGTATAAGTTTTTACTTTCAAAATCCGATCGAGTGGATCTTCCCTAAACCTAGATTGGATTAAATAACATATAGAGGAATATAAATTGAATTTAAGGTTAAATAATAAAACGTGATTGAATTAAAATTAAGCTTAAATTCGATACAACTCAATCTTAAACCTATTTATACGGGACTCTTTAATAATAAAATATATTCTATATTTGTTGGCTCTTTCGATCAATTAAAATACGTTAAGAGCATGATTTGGCCTTAAAATATGGGTGTTGAAGCAATTGAAAAAATAAAAGTTTTGCATATATAAACTAGATTTACATCAACTACCTTAGCATTCACGCTAAGGATTTCTTAAATCCACTAGATTTACTTACTTTTAAAGATAATGCGTAACCTTACAAACACTTCAAGGTTTACACCCAAAACCTTAATTTACACACTCTTCCGAATAGTAATTACAAATGCAACAAATAAAAGGGAAAACCTCACCAGGCAAATATGTTTGCACAATTTAACTTTCACCCAAACCACACTTGAACAAAATAATCAATGAGCTCAACAAGGGTGTTACAAAGAATATGATAAAATAAGCTATAAAACTCCTTTGATATTGGTATATTCATTTGATAATGTTTCTTGGTGTTCTTCATTTGAATTTTGATCTATTTTATGTCCTCTAATGCACTTTTAATCGTTTGAAGTCGTTGGTGGTTGACTAGAGTAGTTGGAATCATTAAACTAGAGCATTAAATGCATACACTCAACTTTGTTATTGATACCAGGAAGTGAGGTATCGAGACCAAACACTCAAACATCAAAAAATATAACTGTTAGAGCCTTCGGTATCGATACCGTTTAGTTAGTATCAATATTGGCTACTGATTTCGAGACCGAGAGATAATTTTTGACAAAATCATATATTTTTTGGCTTTGCAAAATATTTGTAAATTATATGATTATTCAAAAACACTTAAGATTATTTTTCACAATCAAAAATCATTTAAAAATATTTTATGACTAATTTTCATGATAAAATACAAATTTTAAAAATATAAATCATTTAATAATTATATATTGTACCAAAATTAAATTTTAATTCAACAACATTTGAGTTATTTTTCTTTAATTCAAAAAAGAAAGTTGTTATTCTTCTTAAGTTGTAATAAAATAATTTGAATATGAAACTTACATTTCAACCAAAATGTTTAAAGTGACTTGAAGGAAAAAATATTTCAGAACTATTTTTAAGTATCCAAATGGTTGGTTCAATTATTAATTGTACAGAATAATCATTAACCAAAATTTTAAAATGCTCATTTATTAATTGAAATCAAATTAATTTTGATTAATACGTCATTTTTATTTAATTAAAGTATAAGGACTAAAACTAGAATTACACCTGTTTCTTTCACCTAAGTTGATTTTGCATGGTTAAAACTAGAAGGAAAACTTGCACGTGACAAAAATGGCCCATGCAAATTCATCATACGTCATATCATCATTTATCTCTTAACTATTGCAAAAGAATCCTAGGAAAATCGGCCTCAAACAAAACAGCATTTTGTCTCTCTGCATTGTCTTTCAATTCATAAACACAGAAACTAATTGCTTTACCAATGGGGGAATTAATAATAAATCTCTAAATCTGCCACTCTGCGCCGTGAGCTGTGTCGTTCCAAGAAAAGTTAATCTCAAGCATTGGATCTTGACCTGAACATCAGTGACGGAGCTAAATTCCAGTCAAGCTACAATTCGGATTGGTCCCATCAGGTCGGAGACTTTCGGGTCACGTGGAGACCAACAAGGAAGTTGTTTAGGAGAATTGTGAGAAATTGACTAATTTCAAGCTGCTTTCTTGCTTGGTAAGCTTCAATATCTCGATTGGTAAGCTACTAGGTTCGAGTTTGTATTTGGTGCGCCTTAGGGTCACAAATCTTACAGAACCGAAAAGAATCCAAAGAGGGGGAAAAACATCAATTTGTGCTTACATTGCCAGTATGAGGCTGTCGAGGAAAATAGTATTAGTATCTTACCGGTCGATGGATCGTGACAATGATAGAGTTTGCATTTCCTAGCCGTGAGTACTGCAGAGCTACGAAATGATTAGTGTTTCCTTATCTGAAAAAGACTTCAAACTTTTGCAGGTTGACATAGTTTTCCGGATAATTTTAGTTGTCCCAGCTCTCCTTCAACTGGAGTTTTGAATGCCGGAAACTCGATCATGTATCACGTACTTAAGGTACAATAACTTACTATCGCTCATTAAATCACACATTCAATGAACACAGCATTGGCAAAACATGCTATTTAGTATAAAACTCTTAATGGCAAAATTTTCACCTAATTGGATAAAACATTAAATATCTAATCCCATTGCCCAATGGTAGATCCAGTGGAATCAAAGCACAACCTCCACATGCAAAATTTTCAGTTAGGACTTGGGACCACAGTGGACAAAACTATGTAGCACTCGGAATCGGATCATTTATCAGCCTTCGAGGTTATGCACCCATATATACCACCATTTTACTTAACAGTAAGAGAATGTGAGATTACTACTTTGACTTCTAGAACATGGTTCCTAGCTAATTCCACAAATACGCAGACTTGAATACGATAAACTTATGAGGTATGACACAAAGAAAAAGAAAAACTTCAGTAGGCTGAAATCAATGCAAAGTTTTATCAGCAGGTAGAGAGCCAAACCAGCTTCAATTCTATTATAACTATCAACTTGATAACAAGTGATCCAAGCAATGCAACAGTTTAGTATTCAGAGAACAGAAAATTTTCACTAATTAACAAACAAAATGACAATGATCGTCTCGTTTACGGGGAAAATGATTTGCTCATTATGTACTCACTAGAGCCAAGCAGTCTTAACCATAAGTGCAGGGCTACAGAAATGTGAATACTCATGCAGCAGCAGCACATATCTCTTGATGGCAAACTTCGAGTCATATGATTCCCAAGATAAATTAGAACCCTCGGATTCATGTCTGGAGTAACCGATTACCGTCACAGTACATACACAGCAGAAGCATGTCTAGATCTGTTTATGTTATTAGTTGAATATACATATATCCTTTGTCCATATATGTAATTATCAGCTCTGAATTTCTTGAAATGAAATGATCCATCATGTTAAAATATAACCGTCCAGTTCACTTCCATTTTCATACAAAATTGACTAGACCTGACTAAGTCTAATACTTCATAATCACTATTTTACACAACAGCCTATGACACCATGGCGACCTTCTCTACTAAGGCAACAAAGCCTTCTCAATTTCATACCACAAATCTGAATTTTTCGAGAACTTCTTCTTAACATTCTGGATAAGTTTCTTGGCCTCCTCAACCTTAGACATGCTAACAAGTCCATTCACAAGCAATTTCATAGTCGAAAATTTCGGAACCCAGTTTTTCTCCATACATTCCCTACAAATCCTCAAACCAGACTCATAATCCCCACCTTGGCACAAGAAATGCACCAAATTAAAATAACAATAACTATCTGGCTCCAGACCGCTCTTCACCATACTGTTAAACAAGCACTTGGCTTCCTCCAAATTCCTTTCCTTACAGAACCCATGAATCAAATGGTTATGGGTAACCGAGTTCAGGTCTATCCCTTTTGACATCATCCCGAGTAGTAAAGCCTTAGCTTCATTAGACTTCTTCAACATACACAAGCTCTGAATCCTTATATTATAAGTACTAACCCCAACAGGAACCCCATATTCCTTCATCAAATTCAACACTTTCCCAACATCTTCATACTTTTCTTCCTCATAAAATCCACTTAACAAAGTCCCAAACGTCGTGGCATTCGGTTTAACTCCTTTGTTTTTCATATCAACCAAAATGGAATAGACTGAACTCGAAGACCCAGATTGACAAAAAGCTTTAATTGCATTATTATAAGTTTCTAAATCAGGATCGATCCCATACCTTTGAGGAAATTCCGCAAAAATCATCTTCACTTCATAATCCTTCGCTATCAACCCCGCCACGAGCAAAGCGTTCAACGATTTCGTCGAACGGCATAACCCCTTGTTGTAAAATTCATCAAAGGCCGTTACGGCGCGGTCTAGCATCTTGGCTTGACCATAAAGGATTAAAGAATGGGAAGCGAAACGCGCGTTTTGTAAGTCGGGGCGGGAACGGAGCTCCTTGAGGAAATTGTCGGTTGATTCGAAATGGTTGCCTTCGGTGAGTTTGGAGATGGCGACGGAGAAAGCGATTCGGTGAAGATTGGATGATGGCGTGAGGGAGGCGTCGCGGCAGATTTCGATGATGCGGTCTGGGTCTTGCTCGGATTTTAGGAAGGAGAGAGTGGCGCGTGATTTTTGATGGGAGGTGAGAGGGGTGGATAACACTTGGGAGAGGCTTGAGAAGTAGCGGAGGCGAAAAGCTGCGGCGATCGGTGAACGGATGCGGAAGAATAAGGCCATTTTTCCGATCAAAGTTTAATTTTTTGTAAAGCTGAAGACCTCGTAGTTGGAGATCAGTGACCTCTGAGAAAAGAGCAGTCTTTTGATCTTTTACTGGGCCAAAAGAAAAAAAAGGTAAACTTACTCTTTTCATCACTCAACTTTTATTATATTTCTGTTTTGGTCAATTAACTTTATAAATTTTCAATTTTATCATTTAGCTATCTAATTGTTACATCTTCAGCCCCTTTGGTTTGGTTATTACTAAATCCTTACTTTGTTCTCTGAGTTGTTTCTATGCTGTTTTTGCAACTTCGTTCTGGTTTTTTTCTGTTTGCTTCTGGGGGTTTTGACGTTTCCCTTTAAAGGTCGGGAAAATAAAAGATATGGTTAGAATAACAAAAATACCACTGAATTTAGCTCCCATGGAATTTCCATCCATGGTGTCCAGCTGGTCGGACTAAATCAGTGAGTCTACTCACTATAAAGTTCACTCTTTTCAATTTTCAAGTTATCATTCATTTTTATTTGATTCACTCAACTGTTCTTCAAATATTCACTTGGTTTTCGTCTCAGTAATATTATGTTACTTGAATTTGAATGTAAGTGTCTTATACAAGTATATATCTTTAGTTTTTTTCATATATTTAAAGAATCCTTGGAGTTCATATCCCCGTACCAATGTTTCGGATATAAATACTTCAAGAGAAATGAAGAATTCAAACAATATAGGTCGATTATGTTCATGAATGCACAGTAACACTACATAGTTATCCTTATGCAGTGGGGAAAGGCTTAGTTTATCGTCGACAGTACTATTTCTCACTTGATCTCCTCTGTTTGTTCTGGAAATAAGATTATCTTGTATTTTGGCTGTCAAATAATAATAACAAATGTTTCATTGACATTTTACAATATTCTATTCGCAAGAAGCCTCTATTTTTGACGATTAAATGAAGATCTTTAATCAAAGAGAATGTCAACTGTTTGTTCATGCGGGAAAGGTTCCCAAATGCAGAGGACAAAAGGCATTACGTCTACAGGACAACATGAAACACTCGAAAACAAGGGAAAGAATCGCCAAAAAAGTCACCGTCTTAAACTTCGCGACGTGAGCCAACCGAGCTACATGTCGGTTTTCTAGATACCATAAATTTTCCTACAAATAGGACTGCAATCTGCCACCCCTCCCTCAATCACTCTTCAAGACTTCAACAATGGACCTTACAATCTAGTTCACTTTCTGTCTTCTACTTGTTTCTTCTCTTTACCTTGCCCTGAGGAGGAAAAACTCCAAACACCTTCCACCGTGTTCCTTGGGGTTTCCCTTCATAGACCAAAGCCTTAGCTTTCTGCACGCGGTGAGAACCAACGAGATCAAACAATGGCTTCGAGAATGATCGAGGAAATATGGACCGGTTTCTAAACTCAGCCTCCTTGGTACCCCGACGGTCTTCCTAATCGGGCAGAGTGCTAACAAGTTCATCTTTACTTGTGATGCTAACGTACTTGGAAACCAGCAACCAGCTCCGTTCAGAAAGATCTGTGGGGAGAGAAATTTGACAGAGCTGACCAGTGACGATCACAAGCGTGTGAGGGGAGCCGTTGTTTCGTTCTTGAAGTCTGAAATGTTAAAACAATATGTTGGGAAGATAGATGAAGAAGTTAGAAATCATTTGGAGATGCATTGCATGGCGCTCAAAAGGTCATGATAAGCCGTCTATGCTGCAAGTATACAACATTTACAACTAAATCGACCGAAGGACTTGATTGATACGATACCGATATTGACAAGTAGTTCGGGATCTTTGGTGCAATTAGTCCTTCACAATTTTTAACTATGTTTCTTTATCTACACAGGTAATGCCAGTGATGAAGACTCTCACTTTCAACATTATGAGCTCTCTCCTATTCGGCATAGAACAAGGGGAAAGAAGAAACAATCTTGTTGAGCTTATTCGACGTATGATGAACGCCCTGTCATCTCTACATATAAATCTTCCCTTCACACGGTTCAACCGCAGCCTGAAAGCTAGTGCAAAGCTTCGAACATTGATCAAGGATCTTATAAACGAAAGGAGGGCCGCATTGGAGCAACGGATCGCTGATCCTACCAAGGATCTCATCACTTGTTTTCTTGGTATCGGAAAGAATGACCCTTTGATTCGTATGTTCGATGAAGAAATCGTGGACAACGTAATAGATGTAATGATTGTTAGAGTATGTCCAAAGATCAATCATATGATAATTGTAATAATATTTTTATTTACCGATTTTATTGAATAAAGACATTGCAGCTATTATTTTCAGTTATATATACATGTGTTTAACATAAACTTGAAGATAATAAAGTCTATATAATGACATAATTGTTATTATTAAAAGATCCCTAGTCAAGTACTATTATGGGCATGGAGAATAATAATACGCTTAAGACTAACATGTTATTGATTGATGACAACGAGTTGTCATTGACATAGAGAAGTCAGAATTGATACATGATTATATTGTTAGAGAACAATGTATTGGATTGACCCACCATGAGCATATGTCTTAGATTATTATGCGACAGTCATAACATTGCTCATGGTGATGACTATATGTATAATCCTCAAACTTGAGATCAATACTATCCCAATATATATTGTTGTATGTTTTGATGCAGCAAAACAAGCTCCGTAATTGGTTGTTCTATAAAGACTGTTATTGAATATATCTCAATATATGTAGTGGACGTGTATGATTAAGATAGGATATGTCATTCTTACACAATAGGAAATATATCACAGGCCACTTGATTGAGTAAGACTAGAAACGCATGGTCATGCTCGAATAAGTTGATATGAGATATCATAAACTATTCGTTAATTAAAGTCTACTCTAGATATCAAGAAACAATAGATGAGCTATACAAGTGTGACTATTCCAAGACTTGTACCTATTATAGATATAAAGGACATAATGATGTAATACATAAAAGAGTTAATCACCAAGATGATATGTCGAATCATATTTTCTTGTAACTTAAGTGATAATGATATATTGCTAGATGTCATTCATTGTATGTAATACTATAATTGTTCTAATAATTACTGCTAATGTTACAAGAACCTACAGAGTCACACCCTAGGATTGAAACGAGTAAAGATGTACAATTTGTTGTATGTTACTAAAATATATATAAATAGAGTTAATTAAATATATGTTTTAATAATCTTGAATATTTAATTTTAATTAATTAAATATAAATTTAATTAATTTTGAAATAATAAAATCCCTAATATGATTAGGGTAAGTTGTATATGAAAGGATTATTAAATTTCAATTAATTAAATATAGATTTAATTAATTTGAAATAATAAAAACCCTAATATGATTAGGGTAAATTGGCTATAAAAGGTGTGTTAGGTCTAGCAGCCGTTTTAGAATACACACAAAACATTCAGTCGTTTTTCTCTCAAAACGGTTTTGGGGAAGAAAATTATTGCTCTGTGAACTGAGTAGAGGCCGAGACGTGATTTTGTGGAGGCTTACGATTCGAACCGATCTACACCACCAGTATTCACTGTTGTCCTTGTTGTTTTCAAGGAATTCGTTGTAAGTATTCGCATCCTTTCCTCCCGATTTCAGTTTTTCATACTTGAATCGCTGGTGAGACCGTCGAATTTTGTTTCCGCTGCGCCATGGGTTGCTCCGACAGTCCTAACAATGATAGCAGGGCTCGACACATCCTCCGTTCTCATTAACTTCTTGGTCAAGCTTTTGGGTACCGATCGGTCCGTCTATGCAAAAATCGTGCAAGGTAAGCTGAAAAACAGTTTTCGGAACGTATCCGACTCCCGAAATAACTTACAGTCTAAAGCTTTGAAATTATAGAACATGAAGAGATAACCAAGACCAAGACTTTGGAGGAGCTTTTAACTTTGGGAATGAATCCTCCACTGTTAGGTTCTTTCAGGAAAATCCTCAATGAGTTTGAATATGAAGGAAACACTATCCCAAACGGATGGCAAGTATGAACTATATCTTTAAGGTCGAATTTTGTTATTAGTACTTGTATTATACATAAATTATGGATTTAGTTCATCTCCATATATCCTAATTTAGTAAATTTTAGTCTCAATACTTTTCGAAATTTTAAATTCCAGCCCTGATAGAAAATTTCAAAATTCGAAAAATACATGGATTAAAATTGAACAAATCAGAGTATATGGACTAAATCTGCAACGTATGCATAATACAGTAACTGATCGATATAATTTGTCCTATCTTTAACCAAGCTATTCTTTGATGCATGTGTAAAATATCTCTAATTCCCATACGCATGGAAACTTTAGGTGATTTGGGCTACAAACATAACACACATGGACGAGCGAATTTTCCCGGACCCGTCGAAGTTTGATCCATCACGTTTCGAGAAACAAGGATCGATTCCGCCATATTGCTTCGTGGCATTCGGAGGAGGAGCACGGATTTGTCCCGGTAACGAGTTTGCAAGAAGCGAAACGTTGGTCACAATGCATTACCTGGTGACTCGGTTTGATGGAAGCTCTGTTACTCGGACAGTCCCATCTCCAGAATGCCGTTTCCAGTTTTCAGGAACGGGATGCTGATTGAAATTGAGCCTAAGGACTCTGTTAGAATCCATTAAAACATAAAAGCACCCTTAAGCATTTCGTTGTAACTGTGTTGCTTTATAATCAGCTTCACTGGCATGAGAATGTAATTGCATGCCTCGCATAGACATTAGACACTTTCTGTTGTGTAGGCTTCGGTTATATCGGTTATGTGATCAGTTAAGTCGACTGATATCGGATTAACATACTACAAACGGATACAAAATAAGAATCAATAGCGTGATTGAAATCAAACGAAACCTTAGACTTGAATTCGTGTCAATTCGAAAATTTACAAGTGTTAAAATATGTAATCCACCTCTTTGTGCAAAATCGACATAGATTAAAGAATAACCAGCATCCCACTAGTACAATAGAGTATCTCAAGCTAGAGTCACCACCAACACGAGTAGTAATTGTTAGTAAGAGACCACAACCTATAGTCACAATGCTTCCTTTCCAGAATTCATCATACAGAAAAAGGGAAAGCAGCAGGCCTTGAATCAAACCTACAAATATTTCATCCTTGGAAACAAGTAACAAAATCAAAAGGGTTATCCGACACCCCACGATCGACACACTGAGTTTCTATACCCGATATGCTATACACATGAACACCATTAAAACGAAAATGATAGAAGAAGATATATTGATAACTTTATATCCGACATAGCTTGGGGCTATGATGAATATTGATTGGTCGAAGCTTATGGCAAGAAATGCAAGTAGTACCTCAAGTGCTGTCCTGAAACTATTGGGGTATGGTTTAATCAATGTTAGCGTTAGGGAAAAGGCTACGATGAAGACGACGAACATTGGAATATAGAAAAGAAGAAAACTCAATGGATCTAAGACCGATGTCCCCAGTACCGCTGATCCTTCACCTTGCCAAACACCACCAGGCGGGATAAGAGTGGTTTGGTAGGTTGTAGCTAGAAGCAATCCTAAAATTACTAGTAAGGCATTCCGATCATCGCTTGATATGTTATCCAAATCGTGAAAAACTAGTAACGATGCTTTTGATACGTAATTGATGATTTATTTCTCCAACTTACAGTTAAAATTTGAAACTACGGGACCAAAAGAACCACACAAAACGATAATGCTTTCGATTTTATTATGTTGTAGAGCAACATCGAGTGCCGTGGAACCGGCTTGATTGGTGGCATGCTTATCAGCCTTGCAGTTTAATAGCAGTTTGAGCATCTGTTTAAGGTATATAAAAGAAGGGAACAATCAGTTAATCATGTCTGCAGAGTACAAAAGAATCTATGAAACATTAACGAAGCGGATTAGTCGAACCTCAGGTTGATTATGGATAACAGCTATGTGCAGTGCAGTGTTTCCATCTTCGTCTTTCTGATTCACCACTTCCCGACCATACTCTTTCTTTGTAAGCTTTCGAATTAGAACTCGGCAAACATCGAGTCTGTTGTTTTCCAAGGCGATATGCAAAGCAGTACGGTTCTTAATCGTAACATCTCTGATACATTCGGGACAAATCTCCAGAAACCTATCCAACAGGCCATTGGGATTTCCAACTTCACTTATGAAGTGCAAAGGAGTCTCACTGTTCTTTCCTCGGACATGAGCAAGATCTTTATCGATCTCCAGGAACCGCAGAGCCATCTCTTTATGCCCGTTTTTAACAGCGAGATGAAGTGGGCTCAAGCCTTGCCGGTTTAGCTTCCGAGCAAACGATGCCTTTAAGCTCATAACCTCTATTGCAAACGCGATGCACCCTTCCTCTGCAGCTGTGTGTAAAGGAGTGTCGACAAACTCGACCTTGTCGAAGCGCCTCAAAACATTTCCATCTCTATGAATCAAAGAGTACAAATCACTGATATCTCCTGCACGAGCAGCTGTTCTTAAACTTTGATCCATATCGGGAGGAATCGGGACAAATTGCCAAAACTGAAAGCCAAGTTTGGAGGACTTGAGGAGACTTGCAGCATTTAATAGCAAATATCGGTCAAGACTTTGCTTCTGCTTGGTCGGTCAATTACAGTCACAGGGAAACTTCATAAAGCAGCTTTTTTTCAAGGTTGGTACACATGGACATGTCCTTTCGTTTCCACGTGCTTGATATTTAAAGTATGTTTAGATCTGGGTCAAATTCATTTTAATTTAATCCAAATACATTAGCACTTGTTTACTATAATATTATCACGCGCTTACCATAAAGGACTTGTAAAAACGTGCGAAATCTTTAGCGGGCTCCGTCACGTGCCTGATCTCCGGCTTCATCATATCGCAGCTTCGCGCTCTCGATTTCAAATTCAAACTGAAAAGGTATGCAGTTTCCCTTGTGCTCACTCTCTCGATCTCATCATTCACTTTCTTCTCTAATTTGCGCCAGAAAATGAAAATCTCCACACCATAGATTCTAAGCACAAGCTGAACTGTAAGTCACTGGTCAAAATTAGACCAAAAAACGAAGAAAATGGAGGAAGAAGAGCCATTTCCTTCGTCGTCGTCTTTTTCTTCTTCTTCTATTATTCTCAAAGACGTATCCAATTTCAAAACCCCATAACGTCCTTCCAAGCCGTGCACTCAGTTCTTCACTGCTTTCGATGAAACTCCGAGGTCATCTTTGTCGTTTTGCTACCGCTCTCGGCCTTACCTTGTCCCTTCCTCTTCCCGCTCCAAAGCGAAGTCAGTCGCTAAGCTTAAAGCATACCAGCTGGAGCAATCTCAGTCCGCTTGCAAAGAGCAATTGAAGAAAGACCAATCGCTTAGGTCTCTGTCTAAATCTCTCACCGTTTGGCTCAATTTCCTCTTTCGGAACCCGGAGGCTTGCGGTTGTAATCTCTCCACTAATGGTTGCAGTGAGAGTAATATTGCGCAAGTGGACAGTGCTTGGAGAAGCCCGAAAAGGATAAGAGAGTTGTCATGGAGAGGGCAGGGATCTGAAAATGTCTCCGCGGATATTTTGATCTCAAAGTATTTGGATCTGAGGGCTTCGTTGAAGGATGTTTGTAGTTTTGATGATTTGAATCAGCGGGTGCAGATTTTTTTGTGTTTGGCGAGTTGCAAAGAGGTTTTCAATGTCATGACTCGAGTCACTAAGGTTGGATTCTCTAATTTTTTTATCCCCCCCCCCGGGGGGGGCAAGAAAGATGTTGTTATGGTTAGTGATATAACTTATGGATCTGTGAATGCATCGTGGAATAAACAAGTGATGTTTTACTCATAATAGTATCACTTATACAAATTTGTTATTGTTGTTTTTGATTAATTGTCAGAATATAGATGAAGGGAGGTTAAAGATGAAAGCAAGTTGTCCTATAGTTACAGATGTTGGAATGAAGGAAAAGGCTTCTAAAATTCTATTGTCTTACAACCCAATTTGGCTTCGAATTGGGTTGTATATTATTTTTGGTGGCGATTCCTTGATATCAGCTGAGGGTGATTTTAGTTCTGCGAAAGATATCTCGTTTTTAAAGATGATAATAGAAAAACAATTCTTCTCGCACACTGGGCTTGCAAAGGCTTATGCTTATAACAAGAAGGTGGAGCCGGGATACTATGAGAATTTGGGGAATATTATATTGAAGATGATATTTTTGCTTGTTCTTATCCTTGATCGAACTAAATCTCAGACCAGTCTTCCTCTTAATTACGGTATTGATGGAGTGGATGGAGGTTCTCCTCTTCTGTTCACGGTTTCATCTAGTATAAAATCAAGTCGTCGAGTCCTTAACGGTAATTCTCTGTTGAGATGTTAAGAGTTAGTTAGAAAGTTTATTAATTAGTTAATGGACAGTTAGAAGTTAGTTAGTGCATTAGTGTTGTGTTTAAGCTGTATAAAAGAATGATGTACAATATAGTATAATGCATATACGAAATATTATTCACACGTGTCTTAACATGATATCAATTGAAAAGTCTCGAGTGATATCTCGCCCTTTCTAATTTTTTCCTCTTTTTTTCCTTACTGAGTTTTGTTCTTTTTTCCTCCATGGATTCCATCGATTTTACTCATCCTCTTTACCTTCATCCATCGGATACGCCGGGGACGTTGCTGGTTTCGCATCAGTTTACTGGAATCGAGAACTACAATCTGTGGAGCTGCTCGATTCGAATCGCGTTACTGGCAAAGACTAAGTTAGGGTTCGTCGACGGCGATTGCACTCGTGGTGATTTCGGTGAGTTGTTGCAATCACAGTGGGACAGATGCAATGCAATCGTTCTTTCGTGGATCCTAAACACTGTGAGCGTTGATCTCTCTGCGGGATTGGTTTTTGTTTCTACGGCTGCGCATGTTTGGAATGATTTGAAGGAACGCTTTAGTAAAGTCGATGGCTCTCGGATTTTCTTCCTACATCGAGAGATTTTTCTATTCACTCAAGGTTATTCCTCCGTTTCAGCCTATTATTCGCATCTAAAGCTTCTTTGGGATGAGTACAGTGCGTTAGTCCTTGTCTTATCGTGCAATTGTGTTGATGCTTCCCAAGCATTGAATCACGTTCTTCAACAATGTTTGTTTCAGTTTTTAATGGGACTGAATGAAACGTATTTTGCCATTTGAAGTAAGATTCTCCTTCTGGATGCGCTTCCTTCGGTGAATCGGGCGTATTCGATGGTGGTTCAGGATGAGTCCCAGCGTGTTCTTTCTTCAGGTGTTTCACCACTGTCTGATACAGTGGCCATGTATTCCAACTCTGCTAATTCTCGCCGAGGACGATTTAATGGAGTGTGCGACTTTTGTAAGATCCGTGGCCATAAGCGTGATCAGTGTTATAGACTCAATGGCTTCCCTCCTGACTTCAAGTTCACCAAGACAAAGAAAACCTCTTCTGCCATGGTAGCTAATTCGGTTCAGGCTGATAATCCTTCGGAGTCTTCTCCTTTGGCTTCGATGTTCACCTCGGATCAGTACAATCGTTTGTTGGAGCTTCTTAACACAGATATTCATAACTCTGGTGATACCGCTGCTGCCAATTTTGCAGGTATGGTTCATGATGGTTTACCTGCTCCTATGAATAATTCTGTTACCTGGGTTCTTGACACTAGAGTTACTGACCATATGCTGTCTAATTTTGAATGCTTGAGTAATCCAATTGAATGCTTATCACGTTTTGTTCATCTTCCAAATGGTAAAACCCTTCCTATAACACACGTTGGTTCTTTTTGGTTTGATTCATCTCACTGCCTACAAAATATCTTATATGTTCCTGCATTTGCTCATAATTTGTTGTCTGTCTCAAAATTGATCATTGACTTAAATTGTATTGTTCAATTCTATCCTGACTTTTGCATCTTTCAGGATCTCTCCAATGGCAAGATGATGGGGATTGGTAGGAAATAGGGAGGCTTGTATGTTCTTCATTCTTTTGGTTCTTTTCTTAGTATTGTTTCTAAGGCTCCTAATGTGTCTTTTGCTATTACACCTCATTGTATGTCCTCTGTTGATAATAAAACATCCATTTGGCATGCCCGATTAGGTCATGCTTCTTTTCTCAAGTTGCATCATATCTCCTTGAATAATTGTAAACTAGATTCTTCTGTCATTCATTCTTGTATTGTTTGTCCTTTAGCTAAGCAAACTCGTCTGCCCTTTCATGTTAGTTAGTCTCGTTCTAATTTTCCTTTTTAGTTAATTCACATGGACTTATGGGGTCCATACAAAATTTCCACTCATAGTGGTCATAGATTTTTTCTAACAATAGTTGATGACTGTGCAAGAATGACATGAGTATACTTATTAAAACTTAAGTCTGATGCTATTATCACTTTAAGGAATTTTCTTTCTTTGGTCCTTAATCATTTTGAGGCTTCTGTCAAAACCATTCGTAGTGATAATGGGTCTGAGTTTTTCAACAAAGAGTGTTCTTTCCTTTTCTCTTTCTTTGGCATTGTTCATCAGTCATCTTGTGTTGACACTCCTCAGCAAAATGGGGTAGCTGAAAGAAAGCATAAACACCTATTAGAAGTAGTTAGAGCACTTCGTTTTCAGTCTCGGGTTCCTATTAAATTTTGGGGAGAGTGTGTCTTAGCTGCATGTTACTTAATTAATAGGTTACCTTCTAGCCTCCTTCTTTGTTACACTTAAAGGTCTTTGGTTGCTTAGGTTATGCCACTCAAACTAAGCCTCGTGACAAGTTTGTTCCTAGAACTATTCCTTCGGTTTTTATGGGATACTCGGATACTCAAAAAGGTTATTTAATGTTTAGCCTTGTGTCTAAGACTTTTTTTGTGAGTAGGGATGTTCGGTTTCATGAAAATTCTTTCCCTTTTCATTCACCTGAGCTGTCATCTCGGTTATTTCCTTCACAACCTTTTGTCTCTGATTCTGAGTTTTTTGTAACTGATATACCTCTGTCCGATGTGTCTCCTAATTCGGTTTCTCAACAGTCTGCTTCTAGTCCTTCTTTTAACAATCTGTGTCCTGCTGTTATTGGTGCAGAGTCTCCTGCACTTGTTACTTCTCCTTCTTCTAGTGCTCCTGTTCCTGTTGGTCATGTTGTTAGAAAGTCTTCTAAAGTGTCCAAGCCTCCACTTTGGTTAAATGAATATGTTTCTTTCCAATCATCCACTTCTAGCTTTCATCTCATTTCAAATAACATTTCTTATTCTCATCTTCCATCTCACACCCAATCTTTTCTTTCATCTATTTCCATTGTTGAACCTACTAGTTATAATGATGCCGTTAAAGACCCTTTATGGGTTAATGCCATGCAAGAGGAGATTCAAGCATTAGAATTAAACAATACTTGGTGTGTAGTTCCTTTGTCACCGGGAAAGGTCCCCATTGGATGCAAATGGGTATATAAGGTTAAGTTTCGATCCAATGGTGAGGTTGAACGATATAAAGCACGTTTGGTTGCGAAAGGCTACAATCAGCATGAAGGTGTGGATTTTGTTGAAACCTTCTCCCCTGTTGCTAAGCTGGTCACCGTTCGAACAGTTTTGGCGCTTGCCTCTTTGCAACACTGATCTCTTTTTCAAATGGATGTCTATAATGCATTTCTTCAAGGGAACTTGCTTAAGGAGGTTTACATGCAATTACCTCAAGGATTTTGCAGCCAGGGGGAGAACATGGTCTGTAGGCTGCAGAAATCTATTTATGGTCTGAAACAAGCGTCTCGGCAGTGGAACATGAGGCTAACTAAAGCTTTGGTAGCTGTTGGATATGTTTAAAGTAAGTTTGATTACTTGCTTTTTACAAAAAGGAAGGGAACAAAAATAGTAATCATGCTTATATACGTTGATGATCTGTTGATCACTGGAAATGATGCTTCCATGAT